AATTAGTCTCAGATTCGTAAGAATTGTTAATCCTGGAATTTTGAAATTAAAAGTCAGATTCTAGATTGAAGAAATAATTGTTGAGAAAAGGTACGAATAACTACGGGGCCACTTTTCTGCAAATCTTTTTTAAAGCCATCTTTTCACGACAAGCATGCTCTCGACATAAACATTGAAGAAGTTAATACTCTTGAAACGTCCGCGAAAATGTTAAAACTTCGCTTCATTCGTTTTTACTGAAAAACTTGAGACAGGATAAATAATGATGTCAATCGCATTCAAAAAGAGCGACGAGTTAGCCACGTTTCGCTGGCAACTGCATTGCGGACCATAACGAGTGACCAAACCGTGCACAATAAGTTCGTCGCTTTCTTTTCGAACTCGTCGGTATGACATCACTCGATAGAAATTATTGAAAAGCAATGAATTTATTATTTGTTTCGCCTATTTCGTTTTACTTAAATATACTTAAAACTGAGAGAATATTGCAATTTTGAGACGAAAGAGTCTCCAGCGTCATTCGAGCGCAAGAGGTTATAACTCATTCATCCCATCGCCATCGAATCGTGTGGAAAAAGTGCTGGATGACTGCTTCCGCTCGATTGACAGCGACAAATGCTCCTTAAGATCGCATAAATAATTGGCAATTTGCATGGTATGCGCTCGACGTGCACGATAAAGCGTGAAAAAATTCCAACGCCGCGAGATATCGTTACAATTTCTACATAATGGATATCCGTTGAGCCGGCAAATTCATTAACGGGGCAATATTAATTACCAACACGTCGATCATAATTACCCCGGGGGTTTTTCCATCGATTATAGCGATCCCCGCTTCGATGGACTCGTCAGCGGCCAACCTGTTTATTTCCCCGGATCGACAACCAAGTGAAAAGAAGGAGAGAATCGCACGAAACACCGACGTGGATACGAAACTTGAATCATAAACAGTTGCACTGCGGATTTTCCTGGATTTTGGCATTTTTCTGGTGAATGTATCTAACTTAAATGAAAATAAATTATCGAAATTAACTCTTTTCACTCAAACACGAAAAATGTTCTTGTTTAAATTTGTATATTTCGTGTTAAAAAAAAAAATCTGTAAAAAATCCATTTTTATATTCATTATACAATTATTATAATATTATAACATTATAATATTTCTGTACCTTGAAAAATACTATGAAAAACATAAAAGAAATAAAAGAAACCCAACTTAAAAAAATTGTAATTTAAGTAGCCATCAATGGGAAAATAAAAAGACTTTGAATTCGACTCGAAAAATTTAAAGACGAACAGTCCTACAACTGTACCTCCCATCAAAAATCTCTCGTACTCTGAAACAGCAGATTTATATTCTACGCTATAAAAAGGAGAAAAAAAAATCTGTAAAAAATCCATTTTTATATTCATTATACAATTACTGTCGTAACATTATAATATTTCTGTACTGTGGAAAACATAAAAGAAATAAAAGAAACTCAACTTGAAAAAATTGTAATTTAAGTAGCCATCAATGGGAAAATAAAAAGACTTTGAATTCGACTCGAAAAATTTAAAGACGAACAATCCTACAACTATACCTCCCATCAAAAATCTCTCGTACTCTGCAAACACTACGCTGCAAAAAAGAAGAAAAAAGAAGATAGAGAGAGAGGGAGAGAATGATGGAAAGGAATGGAATGACTAGGAAAAAGGGAGCGAGGGAAACTGAAAAGAGCGTATACACAGAGAACAAACGTTGGAATACGATTGGCTGATGGCTGGTAATCGCTTGGCCAAGAGTTTGAGTGTATATGGCACTGCAGTGGTCACATCGAACGGATTGGATTCACCGTTACGTAACCGGGCGGCTATCCGCGGGTCAACACACGCGGCCAGAGGCTTCACCGTTCGAGGAACTTAGGTTTTTCGATTAAACGACTGGTCCAGAGGGAGCTTGTGAAGGGGAGGAGAGACGCGTTATCGCGGGGGATCGTCGCGGGAGTGCGCGTACTGTTCCGCTCGGGAATTACGGCCACGGAATGGCCAGGACCGCGTAACGAACGTCAGAATGACGTGGGTGACGTTTGCCAAGGGAGATTTCTCAGGCTAACAATAAGGGGAAACGATGGTAGACAGTGGTCGAACCTATCTATTGATTTTTCTCTCTCTCTCTCTCTCTCTCTCTCTCTCTCTCTCTCTCTCTCTCTCTCTCTCTCTCTCTCTCTTTCTTTCGGGAGATGAGAGAGGTTGGATATTGTTGGGAAAGTTTCAAGATTGACTTCGAAACTCGTCAAAATTCCTTTCAGTTTAAAGATATTTTTAAGTTTGATTCTAAGATATTTCTCTCCTCTATTCGATCACTCGAGTCACGCAGCTTGCAAATGAAAGGTGCAACACTGTTAAACTCTTATCGGCAACCTCTTATCACCGTGTCCAAGATTACTATTCAGTGTCGGAATGTTAATCGACCACCAAGAAACAGAGACTTCCATTTCTTCGATATTCACCTATGTGATGATGCTATTAGCCGACCGAGTTATTGCCACAAGTGCCACATTAGTATACTATCTGTACATGCGCAATGCCAATGCTGTACCAGTAAAATCCGCTGGATAAAAAAAAAAAGACTCGGTCCCAGAATGATTGCGTTTCTACGGCCATTAGGCGTGCAATTATAACACTCTAGGTTACTCTCTAGTCGCGTTGCTCGTGCTCTCGCATTTGTAATGGCGCGTGCGTGCCGTGTATCATTACGCGTTTACGGTAAAACCCGCGGGTAGTAAAGTTCCATTAAAATTGTGAATTTGAAATAAAAGCGCCGGCCTTTGCTGCGTCCTCGGAGAGATTATGAACGTTATTACTGGATGGCGTCTGGTCGAGAACATTAATTAACCCCCTTGCGCTGGCAACTGGTTCGCGGACCATAACGAGTGACCGAACCTTCCTTTTCCTTTTCGAACTCATCGGTGTGATATCACTGGATAGAGATTATCAAGGATTAATATAATAACTTATCACTCGTTTCGCCTGGGTTACATTTAAATATACTTGAAACTGAGAAACTGTTGCAATTTGGGACATTCTCGACGTGCAGAACGATCGACAATTAAAATCCACGGAATAGGAAGAAACTAATACAACAAGAAATGCATACAGATGCGAAAAATTACGAACTTCAAAAATGGTCATTCTTACCATTTTTATAATTATACAACTGTATAAAATTTTTATAAAGCATATAATTATAATTTAGATATGCAGTTTCTTGTAGATTTGTTGGTTTTAGTAACATTATTCTTACGAAGAGTGCACGAAATGTAATTAAAATCCACGGAATGGAAATGCAACGAGACACACGAAAAATTATGAATTTTAAAATTTAATGGTCATTTTTATAATTAATTTAACCATATAGTTGAATTAATTATAAAATCATATAACTATATAAAATTTTTATGAACCATATAATTATAATTTAGATATACAAGTTTTTGTAGATTTGTTGTACTTTTAGTAGCTTTATTTTCACGAAGAAATTTCTTGCGAAGAAAATTCTGAAAAAAGTGATGGCTTCCCGTATGGACGATAGGTCCGTTTAAGTATGACACGCTTCTTACAGCGAATCTCATCGATTTCAATCTTAATGTACAAGACTCAAAACTGATCAACATTTCATCCACTTTACTACATACAACATTTTAAGAAAGTTTTAAAAGGAATGGTACTAAATAAATTAGCATAAAATAAAATAAAATTAGTATAAATTTATAAAATGAAATTGTATTTAACGAAAACGATATAAACAGATCATTAACGTCGATAAGAAAAATATTACACAATGTAAATTACGCGTTTCGAAACCTATTCTTAGTCTTTACCTCGGCGAATATAAAACTTGTTGCAGTCAGTTTCTTTATATCAGTCTCAAAGTGTGGATAATTCTAATTAAAATAGCCTCTTGATCTCATGGTAATATAACGGCAACTAACGGCAGATCCAGCCGTTAGCAAGATCATTATTCAGCAGAACGTCCAATCATTATCTGCTCTGTTTGTGCCAATCATCGTCGCGTCGAGGCGTGTCAGCCTTGTCGAAGGTATGTTGGACAGAAGGAAGGGATCGAAGCGTTTGAATCACTGTGATCGAATCGTAAGTGATACGCTTGTTTTCTACGATTGTTCAACGTTAATTGAACGTGTTTCGTTGATGATCGGTTAAAACTCGGTTTCGAATTTATGTCTATACCGAGAAGATATTTTTATCGAAAATGTGTTTTAATGTCAATGAAACAAAGAAGCAATATCAACATTGCAGTCGTGATCATTATTTTTCCATCTCTTATAAATATTTCAGAATGATTAAAATACGATGAATATCATCAACATTGAATTTCGATAGTATTATAGTGAACTAGATAGCATTATAAAAACGAAGAATATGCTTTCTCGTTGTGACATATATATAATAAATATCTTTTTATTTAAAGAAAACGCGAAATTTCATGGGGATTTTGCTTGAAAAGTGCTTGTGGATTGTTTCCTGAATTATTTCTGATTTCCGTTAGATTTCAATTGTAACATCGATCATCTTGGAATTAAATAATAATTTTCCTCTCAAAGTAACAAAAGAAAAAAAACCAGTTACATCGACCGTTCATTCAAGAAACCACAGATTTCATTTCAATTAAGGAATTCGTAGTTTCGAACACAAGGAGGAAACAAAAGTTTTGTTAAGACAAAATGTCGTACCAACACCTAAATAACTCTAATAAATCTGTAAAAAAAGAAATCCTCAAATAAAACAGAATATTTCACTTCATTTCTATCTGACAGTACAATAAATAAAATAAAATAAATTAAATTGGGATCAAAATCGAAATGATTGTGAAATCATTGACAATCAAAGATCACAAATGTTTATAAGTATAACTACAAGCCCTACCACGGAGATGAAACGATCTCGCAAGCGTATCTCCGCAGCATCCCTCGAGGATATCAGTTTATAAATTCACTCACCGTCTTCTCGACCCTCCGCGTCCTTGGCCTGGATAAGAATCGTTCTGCAGTAATTCAATTTTTCCAGTAGGTTCACCATCGTAGCCAGTCTGCTCCAGGCATCGCCAGGTGGGCTGCAACCAATACCAGAATTTCTCATTTTCTCTCGTTTTTCCTTTCGTTCAGCGAGCAAGTAAGAAATGAGCGAAATTCCCATCGTTAGAAGTGTCTGGCTTTATCGGCTGAAATCGCGTAACTAGAAACCGGAAGGATCCAACCGCGGATGATACTTCCCTATCGCGATAAATATTCCACCCAGTGATTCAATAAGCTGCCAGAACTGCGCGCCGACGAATTATGTCCGCCATTACGATCCGAAGACGAAGAAACAAACGACCATCCATAAACGGATATTATTGCGTTCCAGGTGAAATTTTCGTAAAATTTTAGCGACAGAAATAAAAAAAAAAAAAAAAGAGTAATCAAAAGAAACGAACACGATGTTTTTTTTTTGTCTTTCGACTCGTGAAATTTCGCTGATAGTATGGTATTACGATAAAACTCCATTTAGATAAGGATAATTGAGCAATAACTGCAACGAAACGACAGCGTGGGATAAAATATTTGCTTCTAAGTAATATAAATTTGAGCTATCTACAATACAGAAAAAATTAGCTTTCATTAATAATTTTTTTTTTTCTTTATTACCATAATTAGCTTCATGAAGCTAACTAGCAGATTTGATAAACTTGAGGTGGTTTGCGTGTGGTAAACGCTCCATTAATCATTAATTAGTTTAAATTGTACAATACAGAACAAATGGTTCTACGAATTTTCACCACTGAAATTATTTCACGTCTTAGACAGATAGTTCGTACAATTGGATTTCATTTCACAATAATTCACAGAAGGTTTAACCTAAGGGCAAATAAATTCTACCGCGCAAAAATTCACCGTTGCTCTGTCGCTGACTGAAATTCGATTATAACGCCCTTGCGCTGGGCAACTGAATTGCGGACCATAACGAGCGACCGAACCTTCCTTTTCCTTTTGAACTCGTCGGTGTGATATCGCTGAATAAAGATTGTCAAGGAGTAAATAAACTTATCATTCGTTTTGCCTGGGTTACATTTAAATATACGTTGCAATTAGGGAGAAAAAATTCTCGACGTGCGTGGCACGTCATTCCAGCGCAAGAGATTAAAAAAAGGAAGAAAGAACCCACGTGAACGAACAGATCCACTATAGTTTAGTAGCGCGAGAGGATTCACCGGCGAGACTTTCACAATTGCCGCGTTTGTCGAATAGCCACTATCGGTGACATCGTTGACCATATTTACGAGACGTCGGTGTTCCCCTGGCGATCTCTCACTCTCTCTCTTTCTCTCTCTCTCTCTCTCTCTCTCTCCGAGAGGAGAACGTTCGCGCGTATCCATCGGCCACTTCCGTGTTACTGTAAATCCAAAGTCGTCCGTTTAATTATTTCCACCGCGATGAATGGCAGCGCGCGGGGGATCATTTTCCAAGCTATCGATCATTCGATGCTATCATGTGTACGGGGCCTGGAGGCGGCGATAAAGAAACGGCGCAAACAGAAACACCAAGACTAAGAAGGAGGAGGAAGAAGAAGAAGATGAAGAAGAAGAAGAAGAAGAAGAAGAAGAAGAAGAAGAAGAAGAAGAGGGCGGAAAAGAAACGCACGACGCTTGGCTCTGCCAGCCGGGATTAATCGATTGCCGTCATGAAAGGTCATTCGTTAATTGCACGCGTTCTCTCTCTCTCTCTCTCTTTCTTTCTGTTTTCACGTGCTGCACACATTTTCGTTCGTCGTTCATTCGAGCTTTATTGAAAATTAACACGCCATAAAATGGCGAAAAAAAAATACGAAGAATTAAGTATTTATGTAAAGGAGTAAGCCCCTTATTTCTCGTGAATGGTCGACCAACAGAATGCCACGAATACTCTTGCGAGAGGGACCAAGATGCAGAGAAGAGATGCAACAACAGCTTCGTTTGAAAGTGCAACATTATCACGGGTCGTTTCGTACTTCACGATCGAGACAAGTTGCGGTGTGTTTAGTGTATTCACTGAAGTGCAAGCTTACGAAAGTGAGCTTTACAATTTTAGAAAGCTTTACAAATTGCAAGGTGTTCGACACGAGATTTGTCAATCTTGTAAAAAATAATTTATCGATCAATGCTGCAAATACGTGCAAATATCAAAGTTCTCGTATGAAATGAAACAATTTTAATCTCAACTTTAATTTGCAGTATGATAATTCGCTGATATTGCGAAAGCAAACTTTACAATTACAAGGTGTTTGATTATGAGATTTGTCAGCAACTTGTCAACTTTCTAAAAAATAATTTACTAGCCTCTAGAAATACATACAATATTCACATTAAACAAAATTTTAATTCGCCGAACAACAAATGAAAGTGAAATTTTTACAAATTGCAAGATATTTAATTACTCTGTGTTTGTAATGCGAGACTTGTCAGCAACTTGTTAATTTTCTAAAAAAAAAAAAAAGTAACTAATACAAACACGCATATGTACAATATACAATATATATACATCATATATACAATTCTCACATCAAACGGAATAACCAATTTTAATTCGCTGAATAACAATTTACTATGGTAATATTATGAAAGTGAGCTCCACGAGTCACTGTTCGAAGAACTATGAGAATTCTAAGATTCTTCGCTCTACTATTTGCAACTTGTCAATATTCTAAAAAAAAAGAAGTAACTAATACAAACACGCTCGGACGAAATAACCAACAACTCAACCTGCATCATTTGCTTAAAAAGTGTCGCACGCGATTGCAATCTTCTCCAATATAAAAAAAAAAAAAAAAAATCACCGAAATCTCAAACTGGGCCAATTATCCGGCACTGATTGCGAGAGGAGAGGGACAAACACCGCGAATCGAGAGGAATATGCGTGAAAAAAAGAAAAAAAAAAGAAAAAGAAAGAAAACTGAAACGTCGACAGTGATCGATCTCGCAATTACACGGTCTCGGCCACGCGCGTTCCTCCATTCTCGGCGAATGGAGGTGAAAAGAAGGAGAGAATAGAAAAAAGACGGAGAAAAAAAGGAAAAGCGGCAAAGGGATCGACGAAGTCGTGATTCGACGGCAGATTAATTGCGATCCACGTTCTATAAATAATACCGCGGAGCGAATCGTTATCTAACGAGCCAAGAGGATCGGAGAGGGACGATAACGCGAGTGAAAGACGATTCGACCGTGTCACGATCGCGCGTCCTTCGCTCGTGTAATTGTTAATCGCTAACGAGCAACAATAATTAACTTATCCAATAGGATATATATACACACGTGTGTGTATATATGTATGTATGTAACGTGGTATGGCGGAGTTAGGTGGTTGGGTTTGGTCGAGTTGGTCGAGTTGGTTTGCTCCGTTGGTTGTTGCGCAAAAGAGGCTGGCGAAGGATCGCGAGCGTTCGCGCAGTTACGGGACTAAGGGGGCCTTGAAACTCGTTTAATGGACGATAGATTGCATCAGTCGGCCAATGCACGACTGTTTTCTCTCTTTTCGACCGGCTTTCTTTTTTCTCTCGTCTCGTTAGAAAGATCCTGGCGATCGATACGTTGCCTCGGTTCACCCCGCTCCTGGATCCTGAATAAAAAAAAGCGCCTTGTCCCCGATCGCGCTCGAATCATCGACGAAAAGACGTCCCTCCTGCGCCCTCTTCTTCTCGTTGTACTCTCCAACTCGCTTTGGGATTCATAATCAGTCGTAATCGGATTTTTGCGAATTTTTTTCGAACTGAAGAAATGAAATTGTTGTTCCGTCTATCGTTGAATATTCCGCTCGTTTCTGCGTGTTTTGTATATACGTTCTCTGCGCTTTCATACTCTTTTAGTCCCCGTACAGCAGACACAGTTTTATATTCGAACGTTTAAAGCTACATACGCCGAAGACTCGATAGTACTGTTTCTTTCTTCCGCTTGTATCCAGAAACGAGTTCATATTGGATTTTCTTTTTTGTTAAATACTTGAGCTCTTTTCTTGAAAGTTATAGTGAAAGAGGAAAATTACATACAAAATAAAATATATAATAATAATAAAAATATATATAATAATAAATACAATAAAACATACGATGGGTCAAAAGTTTCTTCCCACCTATTTTTTTTCTCTTTTTAAATAAAACATCACAAAATATAAGAAAAAACTAATTTTATTAAACTTAAATTAAATTTAAATTCAAACGTGATTTTTTCATTATGTTTCATGTTTTAGAAATTAAGAAAATATATATATATAATAAAAGAAATTGCAAATTTATTTTAGTAGGAAGTGATTTTTGGCCCACTCTGTATAATAATATATATTGCAGTTGGTTCTCCTACTTATCCAGAAGCAAATTTTTACGTTCGAATATTTGAACCGTTCCAATTGAAACAGCGTCATCACATTAGGGCTAAACAACCCTCTTGATGGTTAACCCAATCTTAACCATAACGACTCGCATGTGCGTACACGTCGTTCTTGAAATCCTCTTCATTCTTTCACGACAACGCTTCGACTTCCGTGACGTCGAAACGAGTCACGTTATCGGTCGTCACGTGCACGCTCCCTCGTGTGACGAGACCCTCGTTTCTTCGTTTTCAAGCTGGACCGTGATCGCTAACGACTGGCCGATCCTCGCCGGCGATTCCGCGGCCACGGGCCTCTCTCCTTTGTCAATCATCGACGGGAGGGGGAGGAAGAAACGCAAGAAGATAATTACACGTTGAGATCGGCGTTTCCTCGAACCTGGCCGTGTTTTGCATTGCCGTCGCATCGGCTTTGCTTTTATTTCAACGAGTCACTCCCACGCTGCCCCGACGTTTCGCGAACGAAACAGGTTCGTCCCCTGTTCATCGGGGAGAGAGACTTCGAGCCAACGTTCTTGCCGTTCTACTCCCACCGTTGCGTATATTTCATTTTATTTTTCTTTCCTCCTCTTTTCGGATCCGGGCGAAGTGATTCTTCAAGTGGTCACGTCGAGCTGGAGTTGAACACTTGAATATGCCATTTCGCTGATACTTTTCATTACGAATAAGATTTCACAATATTTTTACGAACAAATGATTTTTATAAGTCAATGATAACTTGTAAAATTATTGAATTGTAAATCAGTAATGATTAATGATTATAAGTGATTTTTAATCACAAATCACGTACAATTTGCACCTTGTGTGACAAGCGTTGACAATATTTTCAATTTTCGAACCACTGGACATTCAGGTTGTTTTTTTTCTCGGGGAGGGCATTAAAAATGACAATCGATCTTTATACCTAAATAAAATTAATTTATTATTTCTCAATAATTTCCATCTATGTGATATCATGCCGACGAGTTCGAAAAGAGAGCGACGAATTATTGTGTACGGAGTGGGTCACTCGTTATGGTCCGCAAATCAGTTGCCAGCGCAAGTGGTTTACCTCTCGCGCTGGAACGACGTGTCACGCGCGTCGAGAATTTTTTTTATTCCAAAATTGCGATATTCTCTCAGTTTTAAGTATATTTAAGTAAAAACAAAATAGGCAAGACAAATAATAAATTTATTACTTGTCAATAATTTCTATCCAGTGATATCGTACCGACGAGTTGAGAAAAAAAGCGACGAATTATTGTGTACGGTTTGGGTCACTCGTTATGGTCCGCAAATCAGTTGCCAGCGCAAGTGGTTTACCTCTCGCGCTGGAACGACGTGTCACGCGCGTCGAGAATTTTTTTTATTCCAAAATTGCAATATTCTCTCAGTTTTAAGTATATTTAAGTAAAAACAAAATAGGCAAGACAAATAATAAATTTATTACTTGTCAATAATTTCTATCCAGTGATATCGTACCGACGAGTTGAGAAAAAAAGCGACGAATTATTGTGTACGGTTTGGGTCACTCGTTATGGTCCGCAAATCAGTTGCCAGCGCAAGTAGTTTACCTCTCGCGCTTGAACGACGTGCCACGCGCGTCGAGAATTTTTTATTCCAAAATTCAACAATATTCTCTCAGTTTTTTAAGCATATTTAAGTACAACCCAGGCGAGACAAATGATAAATTTCTATCCAGTGATATCGTACCGACGAGTTCGAAAAGAAAGCGACGAATTATTGTACACGGTTTGGTCCGCAGTTGCCAGCGCAAGTGGTTAAGCCACTGTTAGCCAGTGTGAAACATTTGGTGGATGTCGGATATAATCGTCGCCAGGTTAAGCCACTGTTAGCCAGTGTGAAGCATTTGGTGGATGTCGGATATAATCGTCGCCAGCCACTGTGAAAGCATTTGGTGGATGCCGGATATAACCGGCGCTAGTCGCGAAAAGTGTTAACCAGATACGTCCAACCTTCGTTCGAACGACGACCGCCTCGTCGGAAGACAATGACGAGAACGTCATTAATTACTCGAGTCATCGGCACACACCGGAAGAACAGTACTCCCGCAGACGACAATTTCCTTTTTGAACAATTAAGCGGTTTTCGCGGGGAATTTCGCGTGTTATCGTACCGCGATAAATCACGAGCACACGCCGCACGACGAACACCGTGACGTCTCTAGCATCCTGAACTTCCTCGAGCCTGAGAAATTAATGCACCGCGAAGAGAATTAATAGTCTGACATAACAGTCATAATTCAAAACACCTGAAGTGTCAACGTGAATTAATAGTCGAGCGCCTGTGAGCCACGAATATCTTTCTGTCCCTCTGTTTCGACCCGTTTGCCAGAGCGTTACGAGAGCCTCGGAGGGAGGAGATTAATCGATGTTCGACGAAAACGGCGTATAGGGACCAACGATTCGCATGGAATCGCGAGAGAACGGCTTGTTGTTTTTGTCAATTTGCCACCGGAAATATCGAAAAATTCGAAATTCTCGAGGAATTTGTACAGGAGTGAGGCTGTGTAATAAACACGTCTCTTTACTTTAGTCGCTAATTATATTTTTTGAGGATATTGAAAGTATGTATTGCAGAAAATGCGATGGACAACGCATAATCCATCTACGATGAATAAAGTATGGTATGAATAAATGTAAACTTATAAATAAAAAGAGGACCAACACTAGAAATATTTCAAGTACAATTGAAAATGTAATTTACAATATTTAAAGTATCGAGAAAATCGTTAGAAAATATTCCACTCGCGACTGATTTAAAGAAATATCAACGCAAGGAAGAAATATTCTTCACAGGTGATTATAAATTATATTATACAAAGAACGTAGAAAAATACGTACATTGTACAGTCGTAATTTTTTAATAAAAAAACTTTCGAAATTATTTGACTCATTTGTAAGGGATAATCACACAAAAGATACACAAGTGATTTCATCATTGATAGTGCGATCGAACTCATTGCACACAACTTACTAATTTTAGAAAAGCTAACAGGCAAGAATAAATAATTCGAAAGGCTTGATGTGTGCATTATTAGATTAAGAAGTTCGTAAAATAAGAGATAAATAAAACAAATAATAAATGACATTCGAAACTATTGGACAATTTGACTGACACAACACGATTGTGATATCATTGATCGCTAACACGATCATTCTCTGTAATACTTCAATCCCACTGTACTTGATCGCTCGAATTATCACTAAAATAAATAAATAAGTAAATGGAAATCTCTTGCAATGAGATAATTTGTGGTCGTGGCGTAATCTGCTGGCGAGAGTATGCATTTCACGCTTACCGACTGGACTTTCTCTTTTCTCTTCTCCTCTCCTTCTCACCTGTTCGAGAACCAAGATTCGGCAGCTCGAGATACGTACATCTGGGTTGATTCTTTCGACAAATTCTAACTGATTCTAACTGATTCTAAGCGACAGAGAAATTCGTTTCCCTTGATAAGAACTGAACGACGCTTGAACAGTGAAAACAGGGAAACGAAACACTGAAAATTTCTCATATCGCGTAACTTCAGTCGTAAACGTTGACTGCTGCGGATTTCCGAGGAATTAGATCTTTCAATCCATCGCGAAAAGCTCGGCACAACACAGTTCGTTTCAGTCGAACTGAAAGTTTCGTGATAACGAAAACAATGGAAAAGAGAATCGAAGAATTTAAAAATTGCACGACTGACGATTGTTAGAATATTGATAGGTTTAATCCTTTGCTATTGCTCGCTCGTCTAACTAAAACCTAAAATTATTAATTAAATTCTTTGGGAATTACAAATTTAATGAATGACGGAAATGATGAACGATACGTGTGATATAGTCTCCCGCTCGAAAGTTTGGAGCATGTTTCAGATTTCAAAGGGAACGATAACTTCATGGTGTCTATAACACCATAATATATATTTATATTTTATTTACATTTATTTATATAAATATATTTATATTTATACATATTTATATTATATTTATATATATTTATATAAATATATTTATATTTATACATATTTATATTATATTTATATTTATATTTATTTATTTATGCATAAGCTATATTTAAATTATTGCAATTAATTATATTTAGAATTGCAATATTTATATTTCTCAAAAAATGATTTCGCCGAGAAAGAAAGTGGTTCTTAGAAGTTATGAACCAAGTTTTCTATCTATATAAAAAAGAAAAAAAAAATGGAAAAAAGAAAAACGAGAAATTATTAAACTTACCCGACTCTATAGTCCGTGCAAGATGGTGGTGGATTCCAGACAGTACTGTGACAAAGCATCCAATCGCACCAGATCTGAAACAAAAAGATTCAACGGTAAGAGATAACCGTTTTGTGTGGAATGCTACAAACTGTTTCTATTTATAGAATATCTACGGGACATTCGACTTCATCCGAAAAGTGAATCATATGTGCCACCGATAGCATCATATCGTGAGTACTTTATCGGTAATATTAATGGTACTGCTGTGAGACGAAGGGCGAAACGGCTGTTATTGTTTCTATGTTACGATAACAATCGAAATTCTCGCCAAGGACATATACTCTTAATTGCATATACGATTTTTCGAAAGATTTCCCTCCATTAAATAACGGCTGGAAATTACTTTTTGGAAAATTCTTCTATGAATGATAGAAATATTAAAAATTAAAAAATTGAAATTTTTCTGTGAAATTATCGTACGTTTTGGAAGAAATTTTTTTTACTAAGAGAAATTACAAGTTAGAATTTTCTTCTAAACTGCAAATGGTCAATTTATCCGCTCTGTTAATTCTATACTAAATAATCAACGTTTTCTGGAAAAACATTAATAAATCAACAATTAATCTATATTATCCTAATCTAAAAAAGATTTTTTCAAAAAAAAAAAAAAGAAAGAAAGAAAAATATACCAAAAAAAAATCTGATAAATCAAAGCTCTGAAAAGACTCTGACAAATCAAAAATACCTCAATCTTAAAAAAAAAAGAAAGAAAGAAAAAACAAATACCAAAAAAGAACTCTGATAAATCAAAGCCCCGAAAATACTCTGACAAATCAAAAATACCTCAATCTTAAGAAAAACGAAAGAAAACTCTGATAAATTAGAGTTGACCAGGCCTCTAATTTATCAGGGTTTTCTTTTGGTATAGTTTTCTTTCTCTTTTGGTAAATCTCAAAGACACACTCCGCTCTCTTTCGCAAATAATGGTATCGAAACAGCCCTCAACGACTGCAGCAGGAAGGAACCAACAACGCCACGGTACCAATGGCTTGTCATACGATTGACCTTTATCGACGGAGCGTGCTGCATAGCTCACGTGCGATAGGTGCATTAATCACGAACGTCGGATCGCATAATAAGCGGAGACACGAACGAATCAGGTCCTAGAGACTGACAACGGCCACCGGCGGATCCTGCGTGGGTGCGAGCCAACCGTTCCTTCATAAATCCTCCGCCACTTAAGAGCACGCGTGCACACACACGGATTACGAACAATGACAAGAACGTCGACAAGCCACGAGCTCGACGAAAAATATTGATACACATTCGTAATCGGAAGCTCGGGGATCACGTGGCGCGTTGAAATTAAAACGATCGACATAGATCTGGTTGAAATGAAAAATTTGACATGGATTTCTTCGTTGGAATTAAAAATTTTTTGGGCATACAACTCGACAGAAGAAAGAAGATCTGAAATTTTAAAAGAAGAAACTGAAACTTGTAGAAGAAGAAAAAGAAAATAAACATTGTGCGAAACAAGCGTGTCCTATAGCTATCTGATTATCACCGTTTCTTTTAATAAAATAATTTTACAGTCTCTTCGCTTGCAGTTTCGTGTAATAAAATGTAATAAAAGCTAACAAACGAGACACGGATTTACAAGTTTTCCAAGCCTCGTTTAGCGCGATTCATGCTGCATAATACTACCAGTTTACACAATCCCCATCGGCATCGACGTTCTCGACACTCATCGTGCCGTTTATCCAGCTAAAGTGATTAATCAAAAATCAATTTACAACGTCGCTGTTGATTGACCGTTGAGTAATTGCACGTTATTTTTAGACCCTCGGTGAAACGACAATTGCGGTTGACTCAGGACGACGACTGTTCATCACTCTCGACACCGACTTTCTCGAGAGAGACGAGATTCCATCGATCCATCGATCGATGATCACACTTGCACGAAACGCGATAAAAGAAATTAAAATAATTAGTCGAACCTCGTAATATTTACACGCGAGATGATGCTCTCGTGTCAGATTGTTGCAGAAATTTTTAACGAAAAGTCTCAAGATCAGTAGCTTTCTTGAAATTATCATATTAGTCGAGTTTCGATTAAATTTGATATATTTGTATTTGATCATTGTATAAGTAATGTTATGATTATCAGAGTTATTAAAATTTTTATGAATTAGAGAAACATGCGTTAGATAATTGAAGATGAAATGGCGAATTTTTCTCTTCATTGAATATTTCGGCGATCAAACATTTTATTATTAAATATTTCAACTTTCGCAACTGGATGTTTTAACGAGCAAATGGATAAATTAAATGAATTAGATGAATTTTAGTCGGATGCAGTTAGATAAATTTTGATACACCGATTGAATTTTTCGTGATTGGACGTTTCAATGATTAATAATTGCCGATATCCTCTGATTAGACATTTTTGATAAGACAGTCTGATGATTGAATATTTTTAACGATTGTACGCTTCATGATTCTAATACTATTTTAATGTTTCGAGTTCGACGTTCGTTCGAAACGGACAAATGATTTCACGATTTTCACTTCGTATGATAAAATATAATTCGACAAAACTCTGTGTCTTTCTCTTACGATTGACATTTGCTCGTCAACAAGCATCATAAATATTATCATTATAAATATTATTTCAGCCGCTAAATTCAACAGCTGCGCAACAGATCCAATCCATCCAATAATATCTCTTCTTTTCTTTTCATTCTTGCGAAGATCGGTCACGATTATCGATTGAGATCTGCGCAATTAGAATGACGCGCGGTTTTCCCCCCTCCATCCGGCGCGGCACGCGGTGAAAGTTTTCTCGGAAAAAGAGATCTTGATAGAGGCGGCCATTAGATATGCCAGAGATAACGGAAATACCTTGATAGCTGGTAAAAGGACTTGCATGTCCTCGCTAACAACCATCCTCGGCTCCTCGCCGCTGTCCAACTGAGACTTGAGCAAGGACACGCCACGTTCTAAAATCAGATTGAACATCTGCAGGGATACGACCAGTGCCCTTTCTTGGACCTCGGACCGGTACCCTTGCTCCATTTGGGAATCTGAAACAACAGAACGAACGACAGGACCGTTAGCCGCGTGGAACAACCAAACTAATCGCTTCTAAAAGGTATCATTGCTAATGGCAATGTTTCAACTACTATCCACTTTAAGGGAAACTTTAGTTGGAGTCACGACGCTTTGTACGATCGCCGATTCGGATCTAATGGGTATTTTTGCGAGACTAGGTGCAAACTTTGCCGCTACGGCGATGGTATATTGTTGCTTGAAATTTTTCCTCAAAGTCTTTTATATATGATAGTGCGAGTTTTTTTTTTTTTTTTTTTTTTTTAGGGGGGGTCTAA